GCATGAGAAATGTCGTCGTCATTCCAGAAATGCCTATCATTGGATTTACACGGTACATCATCACTCAATTATCATTTTTATTGGCAAAAAACAAATTGTTCAAAGAATCGGAAATAATATTCTGTGGGTCGCTAAGAGTACTCGTAGTACTATTTCTAACTTGCGCAAGAGTTATGTTCGGAGTTGATATATTAAATGTCCACACATTGATACTATTGTGAGTAGAATCACTTAAATAAACTTCATTCAATAGTCTGGGAGCAAACAAAATTTCATTTACACCATCGATAACACGGCTACTAATTTCTTGTGGATAGATTGATAGAAAAAAGCAATGTTTTTTCTCGGTCTCTTTTGCATTTTCAGCTGTCTATGGAAGAAACGATGAAAAAAATACATAAAACTGATTCCTTTTCTTTGCAACTGTCTGTAACTATCAAATCAAATTCAATTAATACATCAAGTACATTTTATATGATACATGATTATAATTGTTAATAAATTTTTTTAATAATGAATTTCAATATGGAAAAAAGCTAAAGTCTTTTGTGTCATGCATAGAGGCCGTGGAAATGTCGCCGATCTCTATGAATAGAATAACTCGAATGTCACTGCATTATTATTCAGAAATATCTTGCAACACAGACATCAATTCGTGTACTGATCGACTTTTTAGTTTTCAATCAGTAAAATATTTGTATTGCCAATTTCGGCTGAGAGAAAAGAAAGTGAGTAGTCAAAATGATCAAAAGTTTACTTTTTTGATCATAAATCCAAACATTCAACTAGTTGAGCATATATTTCTATCGCATCAATTGGTATTGGCTAGGTGTGCCTGTGAGTCTCCTTACACTCACTGCCACACCGACACCAGAGAATCTGCATCGAAGTAACTTGAAAATGGTAGATGCAAAACGCTCGCGTCTTTTGTCTGCTCATTTTCACCTGGATACTAATTTTTTCAGTGTTGATTTTTTATCATCTTCTAAAGAAAAAAACTTTCAAAAGAAATAAGAAAAGCTGTTCATTCGCGAAAACACGGTGGAAAAAAAGATCGATGGAGAAGAATGAGAAAAAAAAGAAATACACATAAATAGAGGGATCTATCTTCGTCTTTCATTAGCATTCATTCTGACTATTTTATGAATTTGATCAGTGCTCACAACAAGGATAAGAATAAACTAACAATAGGAAGTCGCTACATTCGAGAAGTGAATATTGGAGAATAAGCTTTGTCACCTGGAACTATCGCGAGTGTGGGTGGATGGATGAATCGGTTGGTAGGTTGGAAAGGAGGACAGAAAACTGGCCATTGCTGAAGCTTTTCTCTTCACATAAACGTCCACCTATCTATCTAGACCCATCTACCGACCTAGATCTATCCGCACCTACTTACAAACTCTACTTGTATCGCTGCCCTTTGAGCTGTTTAACTAAATAGTAACCAGCTTAGCAGGTTTCCAAGAAAATTTCAGCTAGATTCACGAGTCATGAAAAAAGTTGTTTTTTCCGTAATAAATAAGGAATCTCCAGAATCAAGATGTAGGTGTCTGTCTCTACATTCACACCGCACATCCCGAGATAATAATAGTGTATGGTTTAAAAAATGGTTTCCAACAAGCAAACGTCCAAACAACTTCACATGAGTGCTAAACTTCACCAGAAACAAAATGATGGATGACATTTCCAAAGTAACAAGAACAGAACGAGAGTGTGATTTCCCATGCACTTACCCCCACACTCACATCCATCATCGAAGGATAGCGATAAAATAGGAGCGAGTCAAGTACCTCGATGGCCTTGTTTTGGTCTACATCAACGAGATTAGCGCTCCGTTATAAGATATCAATGGTTCCTTGGCGAAGAGCATGGTAATAGTCGCTCGCGCTTTGGCAAAAATGCTCAATATTGTTGGGCAGCTCGAATCCAATCTGTTTGTTCAAATTGTCTAGTTCTCGTACAACGCTATACAGCTAACTGTCACCAGAAATCCACTAGAACTGTCGGATACGCTTCTCATTAGCATCGATTCGAGCCACTCTACCATAAGGAAAAATTCCTTAACGTCTGGTTCGTCTACAAAAATGCCTCATTTGCCGGTTAAGATATACCAGATGTTCGTCTCGATGACTTCAATTTCACCAAATTGGGCTGAACAAAAGCCATTTTGGCCGATAAAATCTTATCAAAGTCGATTTTCCTCATACCGAACTATCGTTAGTTACGTTTCATTGTGGCGATTTGATCAGTGTACTTTCTACAATTCAACAGTTCTTCGAATAATCTTTAAATATGCAATATTCGAGCGAACCAATTTCACCATGGCTATGTATCGCGCAAAAAATACATTTTCCACACATCAAGTTGATTGTCAATTCATCAAATGTAACCTCGTTGTCAGTATTTTCTTCAGAGTTCAATTTCATCACCGTCGATTTCTATACTGCAACATGACAGAAGCAACTTTGATAGATATTCATGTGTTCTCTGGAATTTTAGTCGAAAGCACACTACTCTTTGTTGCTCCGGTACGTGCAAGTCTTAATGGAGTCCGTATGGATTATGTGGATTTCTCGAATATCAACCTCTTCAATTTCGATTGCTCTGTCGATTGTCGATGGGATGATGATGTATTACGGAAGCTTAAATAGTGCTCGATCATGATTGAGCCTGATTGAAAAAATCCGAATAAGTATGTTTAGATCCAAGAGCAAAATGTATACCATTATGACTCAAGATGTATTGATATCTCGAGCACAGTTCTCTGTAGGTGGATGAGGATGAAGAAAAAGCGCACATCCTTATCCACTATTCAACCTCAAATATTTGAATGTTCACGACTCCTCATAATGTTTTTATGTATCCGTTGATGCAGTCACTCTACTGATTATCGCTATCTTTTTTGTTCTCGTAATTGCAAGTTTGACTTTTTTTTACAATCTAACTGATTCATATTCTCCCGATTAAACTCATAAAATGCTCCATTGTTAATATTTTTACAAGTGAAATACAGGACACTTTTTCTCAAAATATATTCAAAGGAGTTGCATTCTGTTTGAGCCCATTTTAACATGTTGATTTTTTCTTCATCTTAGTTCAACAAATATTGAGACTTTTCCACCCAAATTTGACCACAATGCATCGACATGATTTCGAAACCATTTTTCTAATTGCATGAGTAGCGTGCAGAATATTTGAATTGAGCTAGTCTTATATACAAATACTTCTAGAAATTAAAAACTGTCTCGATACAGATTCGTGTGTGGGTAATCGGAGTTGGAAGAACGAGCGCGAAGTACACATGGTATTGAATGTGCTTGACTGAAAAAATCTGGAATATGGGTCATTCCACAATATCGGTACCATATATGAGAGAACAGTTTCGCAAGAACCAACATTTGTTATCGATGCGAAGTTGTCTTGAAATGAAAGCTCATTGATGACTTGACAAAAATCTAAAATAGCATAATAAATGTTGCCGATTGAGCAGTAGAGACAAATCAATCACTGTTCAATTTATCATCAAGTCAAAAAAATAACTCTTTTCGTTAATCGAATGATGGTTACACAAAGTCAAAACAGTCAATCATTATCAATCATTGTTTCTTAAATTGAACTAAAGAGAAGTTTTGTCGACACGCAGTATTTCCATCATTGTTTCAATCTGATTGATAATGTCAACGATGGTGAAAAATTAAATTTCAATCATTAGTTTTCAAATGTTCTTGCTTGGAACTGACATATCGAGTTGTTTTCTACTCGATATTCGATAGTAAACGAAATTAAATGCGAAATTTTCTAGATGTCCACATAATGATATTCAGAAAGACATAATTGACATTTCAATTAATGTACCACAAGTGTGAGTAAAACAAGAAAGAGCAATGTTTTTTTTACTAATGTGCTTTGAAATGTATTCGAGTAGATCTAAAGATAGCTAAGAAATTAAAAAATGTAAGTAATCATGAAAACTTCACTCTGAGTGAATTATACAGTGTATTTTGTCTTCACATGACGGCAGTATAATCATCAGCTGTGTTTTATGGTGATTAGAAAAATAATATTACAACAGAACGAATAGAAAGAAAAAGAAATAAACAGAATAACAAATATACACAATAAATGTAACAATCATCAGTCAAGCGTAAAATTATATTTTGTTTACGCTAAATTTTGTTCTTCATGTGCTCTGACTATTGATTGAGTTTATTCGCACGGCCACACTGCACATTCATATATTTACCTTTGATGTCGGTAACACTGATACTGGGGTGTGATCATTCTTGTTTGTTTTGCTTTTTGCGTGATTTTTTTAATATCTTAGATGTTTTAAGTCGAGAAAAAAACTAGTGCTTTGCAACAATCTTTTTCTAAGTCAATAGTAAGTCGTCTATTAATACTTTCAACTAGTAGTACCACTCTGCTTTGCATTCAAAATCTAAAAGTTTTCTTCAATAATTCCAGTGACACAAACTGCCTATATATTTTTGTTTTTGTCCAATGACATTTTTCTCTTCACGAATTGATATAATATAAATCGTGTCAATAATAATATTTCATCAAGCTTTTCTTTTAAAAAAAATACGTCATGTTATATAGTCACACTTCAATAATGCCTCTGTCGATCTTTTTTTCTTATAGGTGAATGCATCTAACGTTTGAGTCATTTTGGGAGTCAGTTGTATATTTTTATTTCTTGATATGCGTAAACGTCAGATAACCAAACATAAATCAGCAGTATGATCAGGTAAAAGAATGACAAACAAAGCGAAGAATTTTTGCTGAATCTCGAGCATTTTGTTTAAAAAAGTTGTTCGTCACAACTAGTATCACTATTATATTGTTTGTCTCGTAAAAAAAATATTCGATTATATAATTTGTGCAGATTAAATGTTTGAAGGAACAGATCAAAAGGATTGATTAGGCGAAATAGACATCTTTTGAAAAATTTTAAATAGTTTTATTTTCATTCGCTTTTACTTCTAGACACATTTGAAATCATGTCATCTGTACCTTCTTCTGTGAAACCAGTGGAATCGATTATTGATAAAGATACTGAAAAACAATCTTCGGGTCACTTTAAATCTTTATTTGATCAGTATGCAGAATGGTTTACCCCAAGTACAAGTGCTGCAATTATTGAGTCATTGTCAGAAATCCATTCGCTACAGTCTAATAATGATTTATCACATTTGAATCATCGTATTATTTCACTGGTTTATAATCAATTGGCTGAACTTATTGAAAAATTTATCTTAATCGGTGATACATTGTCCAACGATGAATGTATTTTAATAAAAAACTGTCTTCAATTTATCGTCAATGTATTAATATCAGCGTGCAACATTGATTTTGACAATAAGAATAGAAAGCATGATGGAGATGACGTTAATAATAAAGATGATGCCTCAAACTTATTGATACGAGAAATTCTATATCGTGAAATAATTCCATTAAATGATTCATTTTTGAAATTTATACAATGTGCCAGTTTGAATACCATGGAAAATTATCAACATATTTTCAGCAAATTATGTGAGGTTTTAATTCAACGTAATGAAATGATGATTTTACAATTAAACTTTTTGAAAAAAGATGAATTATCAAATCTCAAACACAATAGAGATAATCAGCTACTTTTTGATACATTTGCTCAATATATGACTTCATCACATGGTGTTAGTCGTTATCTAGAAGCAGTAAAACGACTTAATATTAGATCGACAAGTGAATGTGATAGTATTTTATTATTTAATATTTTTAATTTAATTATTAATAATATTCTTTATACAGAACAGTTTCGAACAATATTTTGTAGTAATTTTTGGTTACCAATGTATGAACATTTGTTGAAAGGATTATTACCAACAGCAGCAGTAATAGGAGAAGAAAATGATATTTATCTTAAATTAAATGTAATCAAATATTTAATTACGGATCTAGTGAATATGCAACCAACAGTAGAACGTCTATTCACGTTGCTACAAAGACCAGTAGAAAACTTTGCATTGAAAGATGAATATTTGTCAATAATCAAAATGTTACTACCTTGGTTTTCTAATCCACATATTCTGAAAGGTATTTGGAAAAATGATATGGATAATGATTATGGTACAATACCATTCGAATGGGATAATAACTTTGATGAAAATACGACTAAAACTTTAACAATTACATTCGTTACATGGGCAATCTTACAGTTAATTCTATTTTTTATTAATGCCAATAGTGATTGTCTTACGGAAGTGAAACATAATACTGACATGAAAGAAATATTATTGCAATTTTTGAATCAAATAAAGAATGGTAATCCAATTAAATTACTTGTCTACAATATTCTGGCACCACTACTAGATGAAAAAGATATTCAAAATGAAACGAGTTTTACAAAAGAAATAATTACAACATTAATAGATTCTATACGCAATGCTAATCAAGAGTCAACAACTGGTGACATGCAAGTTCTTTTACGTTTAAGCGATTTAATAACATTGTTGACAACACTCAAAGGTAAGTTTCGAACAAACTCTAGGAAGTAATGTATTGATGATTGAATCAATATCTGAACTTAAATATTACTGTAGACTGTTACACAAAACTAAGTACGTAGTAGATTTTTCAAATAGCTAGGTTTTTTCTTCCCAGTCTGTATTATTCTCTATCAGTTCCGATGGCCGGAACACTCGACCTAGCAAGTGAAAAATATCCTATTGAATTCTATCGAATTCGATAAAATTCAATCATTTGTTCAACTTTCAGGATTCTGACTGTCAGAATTTCATTGAAATCCGATCTGATTTCGACACTTTCCAAAGGTACAACAACCCATGGAAAGCAAAAACCTAGTGAACAATGCCATCTATTTGTTCATCAAAACTTTTTGCGATAGTGTCTTCCAAGGGTAACAAAAGTATTTTTCAATGGATACATATGAACTTTATTTCAAAAGTTGAGTATTAGTGTTCGACGAATCGACACTTTGACAAGTAACAATCATCAAATGCCGATTCACTATTTTATAGACTGAAAGTAAATACAATACTGATAGATGTGTTAGTAAAACAATGAAAGTTGATCTTTGGTAACTTTTGGATGATTATGTGTTCAAGAATATTTATGTCACATCAATGACAAATTTGATTCTGTTCTACATTAAGTTCCATGAAAAAACATAACTAATAAGAAGAATTCTAGTAGAAGAATCTGAGATTAAATTGTTCAATGCGATCAAACTATTCCAATCGCAAAATGAGATCGGATATTGTATATCATCATACATGATGCCATCATAAAGGCCATACATCGAGATCTGTTTCGCTGGCATCGATATAGAATAGATACACACGAATGGAATATCGCTTTTTGAGACACTGGACATTTCAACTTAAGAGATAGTCTCTGTATAATAGTTTATGATATTTGAATGATTTCTTCGGTGCTTTTTTGCAGCATTTCTACAATTCAATCAATTGAAAGCTGACTTTGTTCGAAATAATGGCTTAGAATTGTTAATGGAAGTAGTGATGAAAAAATCGTGGCATAAAAAAATGTCTCAAACATCCATATCGAGTAGTGTTGACGAATCAACCATGGATTGTTTGGATAATTTTGAAATTCCATTAGGTAAACAATTTTTTCGTACTAATACTAAAAAAGCAACCGAAGAAGTACACCAATTAGCATTGGAATGCTTTTTTACGATGTCTTTTAATGCAGAAGCAGCACAGCTATTGAAAAGTAATCAATTATTTATGAATCATATTCAAAAACTTGCTGAAGATAAGAATAAAACAACAAATCTTGGTCTGAAAAAAGCAGTAGATAGTATTCTCTGGAAATTAGAAAAGGAAAATGAATTTAAAAAGCAACAAGAAGATATGACAACAAGCGAAAATACACTATTTGATTTCATGATAAGTTATAGTTGGGGCGATAAACCATTAGTACATCAAATATACAATTATTTAACCCAACAGTACAATTATCGAGTATGGTTAGATGAAAATGAAATGAGTGGTTCTTTATGTCAAGCAATGGCACAGGCAATTGAAAAATCGGAAATAATTCTTATATGTATGTCTGAAACATATAAACAAAGCGAAAATTGCCGTAATGAAGCCGAATATGCGCATGATCGAAAGAAAAAATTTATTCCACTAAAAATGAGAGAAGTTGAATTGGATGATTGGCTCGGATTCATGGTTGCCGGAAAATTGTATATTAATTTTGAAAAGAACAACTTTGAAAAAAGTATGGGCTTGTTAATAGCTGAAATTGAACGATATCAATCTGCGAAAGGAACGACTAAACAAATTGCTAGAGTGAAAAGGTATTATAACTATTTAGTCATGGTTTTTTAACAAAGAAACATTTCATCTTATGATATATTATTCTAGAACAGAGCCTGTTGCCAATGCTCCTATATTGCAAACTGCATCTACAACTGCATCGTCGATCTCAAACCCACTTATTCGTCCGAATCTTATCTCAGCTGACTACCAACAAATTCCGATTGTATTATGGTCTAAACAACATGTTCGAGATTTTCTTCTCGATGAAAAACTAGATACGATGATTTTATTAACTGAAAATATGAATGGTGAAGAGCTTTGTGTATTTTCGGCACAATGTAACCTGCAAAAACAAGATTGGTCCATGTTTGATCGTCTGAATAATGAACTGGGAAAACGATATCAACAAACACTTCCGATGTCAGTTTATTTACGATTTTTGCATCAAATATCAAAGTACTTAAATAAATGCACATCGTTTTAAATGCAACGCATGACATGCTGTTGCTTTTTCTGTTGGCATTACTTCTTATTAATAAAAATATTCCAACTAATAGATGAACTTAAAGAAAAAAAAAACTGATCTATCTTAATTTCGTGTTCGTGAACTACGGTGACAAACTACAGGAACAGCCAGAAATCAGAGAATACTCTTTTTTTTTCTTGAATATCTTCTCGTTGCGCATTGCCAAATATAAAGATATTTTTCCAAACGAAGATGAGACATTGTCTCGTTTTGCTCATCGAATATTATTACTCATAGACAAGCAATGAAAACATCCTCCAACAGTGGCTTTGTCTTATTTCCTATCACTTTTTAAAATGAATCTCTTTCTGTAGACGCATTATAATAGGACAAAAAGAATATGGGTATGAATGTGAGTACATGAATGTGATTAAAAAGAATATCCATAAGCATGGTGAATTTCTCTCAAAAAAACACAAAAAATGATCATGCTGTGTACCTTTCGTACTTTAAGATAAGAACAAATACTCATTCTGCAAGAAACACAAGTAACGCAGCGCAAACGCTGCTAACCCTCTACTGAAAGGATGAATTGCATTGAAGATAGGATATTAGAAGTACTAGATATGGGAAATGATTCGTTGGCAGCACGTTAAGGAGTGGAATGAAACGAATCATTATTCTTCAAGAGTAGAAAATGTAGATTCCCATATTCGGTAATCCCTACAGAAATTGCATATTCTAACCATGTTAAAAATATGCTTTATATCCACATGATATCATCAACATTCTCCGTACTCGCTTTGCCCAGCTAAATATTCTTATAGCATTATCTATAGTCTGATCAAAGTGTTAGTATCGCGTTCCCGAGTTTCAAAATGTCTGAAAATTGAAATCAAGCGATTGAAAGTGACAAAAAGTCCTGTATTAATGTCTGAAAATGACAATACGTCTGTAACAAGATTCCTGGCTCCATCAAAGCCATTTTTGTTACTTTTATTCCATGAAAAAGCTTGTTAGCGCAGCTCCTTTGAGGCTGAAATATAGAACCCATATATACTATCTAGCCTAATTAAACTAATACATAACACATAAAGTGATAAATCTCTCGTAGATTATAGGTGCTTGCAGGATAATTGATATTCAGAGTAATAACTTCTCTAATTTCTGCATTTCGAAAAGAATTTTCATTTTTTAAAATTCTTTTTTTCTTAATTTAACATTCTTATCATTATAATCGTTGAATTAATTGACAAATATGTTTGTTTTACATATTCATGATATCTACAGCAGGTCTCATGCACTATTATTTATATTAATCAACTCACAAATAGTAATATTTACTATTTTTTAAAATTATAACTTGATCGATTTTGCAACAAAATCTAAAAAATGTGACACCTGTTATTGTTCATTGCTACGGTCTGTAATGGAGAAGGGTCTAGCAGGAGTGGGAGCCACAAAAACTTGCTCTTAAACTTACACTCACCATTTTCTTCGAAAAATATGTGAGTTCTACAAAACTGACTCAGCAGTCAATATATTCACTACAGTAGTGTAGTTTTTCTCTCTCGAGTCATTTAAGGTAAACAAATATATCGTTCACTTTTAATTTTTTATCTCTCTTATGTTCTTTCTTGAACGAAGCAGCATCGATATGGCTCTTCTCTTAACTCATACTCACACTCATAATCCACCCAATAAATCTAGATCAGTAACAAAAATACGTTAGCGTCAGCGATGATATGCTGCGATGCTAAACCAAGATTAAGACACGCTTTCTGGTTTAATTGGCTTAGGACATTTGCCCCGATAGCAGAAGATGTGGGCTCGAGTCCCACGAAGGTTGTCTTTTTCTTCATTCTCTTCGTTCACTGCATTTCCAATCGTATGAATCATATATGATGCTTACAAAACCGTGTCCCTATTCGACTACGCACAGCAGAGTAATGATATGAGCGATTCTGTTCCACTACAAACTGGATAACCTATGAAGATAAAAACTTTACGAGTCGAAAATTTCCGCTTTCGTAATTCCATACCCTGACTATATATGATCCGAATTTGATTGAAACTGACTGGGCTGTTGTAGAGCTAAAACAATTTTATTGTGAGTATCGATGTACGTTAAAGTCCCTAAATCACACTGTGTTAGTTATGGTTCGCTGAACGGTACGCAAATGAACTCTACAGATGCTCGAAAACTTTGATCGATAGTTATTAATGCCTGTCTACAATTGTCAGGGATACATCTCTTACTATAGACAAATGAAGGTATACAGAATATGAAGATATTGTAATAGATATGGATATCTGAATACGCAGCATATTGGCTTCATATTTCTGATAAATTACTAGCATTGATTCGAGTACTGTTACTCTGAAATAGAACAATAAAAATAAAAATTCTCGTTACAAGTATATCATGGAAAGCAAGATTGAAACTTAAACATAGAGTATATTTCAATTTGAACGCAATTTTTTGTTCTTTTAAATATTTAAAAACCATGTTAAAATAAAGTTTGGCTTCTATAGAAGAATCAACTGATATTCGTCTATCTATTCAAAAACTATGAGGAGTTTTTGACAACTTTGTAGATTCGGGTGAGTGGTTGAAAAAGAGATATCAAGTCTCGTTCTCATCGGGTGTGGCTGTGGCTATGAGGATCTGGGTGCTGGTGTATGTTGAGTCAAGACTGGCATCCACATCTATGGTTGTGCTTTTGAATGTCTGAGTGTGACTGTGGGATCGGTGCCGAGTTGCGATTACGAGTGTTCCCTTCACTGTCATCAACACTGATGCCGTCGCTCCTACGCCTACATACATCCAGATGGCCCTGGTACACAGATTCTTGATTTCCTCTTTTCTGATTGATTCCTCACCTGTTGTTGCGTTTTAGACTTGAGTACGTACAGTTGTTGAATTGAAATGTTATAAAAGTGAAAAATCGCCGAAAATGCAGCAGAAGTCGTCTCCTTATACAGATTACTTTATCACTGAAGAGGCGAGCTTGAAGAAAGCAACGATAAAATTTATTACTGACGAGAGAGATGTGGCAATAAAATATTATTATCTTATCTTAATAGTTAGGCTTTTTTTGCAGATGTTTTTGCAGTTAAAGGAAAGGTATGTTTAACCAGCAAAGCTTAAAACACGCTAAGAAAAAAGCAAAAACAGTAGATCCTCTGGAAATTCGACGATTGGCTTCAAGAGCTACCTGTTTTTTTTCTGAGTGTCGGTGCGAGTGTATAGCGTGTGGCGAATGTGAATTTGACTGTATGGGGTGTGGTGGGTGTGGATTTGACTGTGACTACGGGGTGTAGAGTGGTTGTAAATATAGAGTGTCAGTGTGGATGTAGGAGTATGAGTGGATCAGTTGTTTAGGAACACCTAGATTCACTAATATTCACACTTCACCCTCATCCCCTTTCTCTACACTCACACTGTTTTGTAGTATAGATAATTTACCAGTATTGTACTTTTTCTAAATCCCTTTTATTGGATTAACTCATTGCAATTACAAGCCTGGTAATTGTTGAAAACTTTACTTCGCTTACGAGTTTCAGCCTTGCACATGTTCACATGGTTAGTGCTCAGAATTTTACGCGTTATTGTCTTTTTAGTGGAATGCAGAAGTTCCAGTTCTAACTAAGAACTGAGACTAGTCTACCACTTTAAAACTGGAACTAGTGCATTTCTCAATGAAACCCTTTTTATGTGTAAATTTTGATGATATTTAATTAGTCTACTACTGAAAGAGTCAATCACTATCTGAGTTTTGTGATCATCTGAGTGTGGGTGTAGTACGAATGAGCTGAAAATCCAGAGCTTACATGAACTCGTATCTCACTTCCACTCATACCTATAATTACATTCGATTGACGCCCGCGTCTGCACTTTTTGTGATCTCTGTTAGCAACCATCTAAGTTGACTGCCATCTGACGTTGCTAACAACTGAGTTAGTCACCAACTCACATCTTCACTGATTCAGTTGGTTACCAAGCTCGTTAGTTCTTAACTCCCTGATAGTTAATTGCTTTGGCAATACATTAGTTAATTTATAGTAACACATGACACAGAATGAATTATATTTGATTCAATAGTCATCGATTATGATTTCATTCAAAGAAATCTGCATGGGCGAAAGTCGTCCTTAGCGAAAAAAATTTTTTAGAAGAGTTGAAGCCAGAAGAAATACGACGCACTTAAAAATAGACACTTCACAAAGTTTTCAGGCTTCAAGACCCGAACTCTTGAAAGTCTTCTACTCGAACATTGTCTCATAAATACGCTTCAATTATCATGCCAGATAAATTAACAAAACAGTTATACAGTTATATTTCACAATAAAATATAATGTCTATACTTTATATTGACCAAAGATATTAGGATTGCAGAAGAAACATTAACAACGTTTATCTGAGCCATACGTTGTTAGTACTACTTATTCTACGACATTATGCGAAATTATTGGATTCGTTCGATGTTTGGCAAGTCAAAGCGTTCTAAAATAATAATATTGCAAAAAGTATTGTTAATTATTCAATGCATATCAACATACATCTAATATGTTATCGACATTATTTTGTCTAGTTAGAGTTGCAATCCGAATGAGTTCTCCAAGATTAACACAGATGTCGAAGCTATGCAGTAAGCTTATTACATATAGCCATACTGATTTGTGCGTTGATGCCATTCTTCATTCTTTAAAGCCTAAAATACAGCTATAAATCCGATGAAGGAACAAAAACGTCGTGCTTTTGAGAGACAACTTAAAAGTGCGTAGAAGTACTAAGATAGGGGTGTTGGTATGTTGGATTGGTGTTTGTTTCATCGTCATCTGTCTGACACCCACAGCATACACCCTCCAACACTCATACCCTGGTCTTATTGAAGTTCATCTGCATAATTGTGTTCTAAAATAAGCGTTTTTTTATAGGTATTGAAATTTTAAAAAATTCTAAATTCTATGAAATCCTTACTCCAAATGTTTATTGAGACATATTAGAAGAAGTT